ATATCTAGGGAAGTCTACATGGCTGCTAGCAATGCTCTTTTCCATTCTATAGGTAAAGACTTTCAGAGCTGTCATTCCAGTACCTTTCACCAGCACTAGATTCACTCATATATTATAATGTATTTAAAAAACAAAAACAAAACAAAACAAAAAACTAACCCTTGGGCTGCTCTATCTTATGCTGAGGGTTACATTAGCCCCAACTCCAGAATCTATAGGTGCAAAAGTAAAGTCAAGTCACCTTTGTCCCACTCTCTCAGTCCAGCCCTTAACTGGGACCGGAGTCTCAGATCTACTCTCACCTTCCTTAAATTCCATCCCGAATGTAACAAGACATTCCTGCAAAAAAATGTAGGAATGGAAGAGAACTTGATAGATCATCAAGTCCAGTCCCCTACACTGAGGCAGGACTAAATATTATCTAGACCAGCCCTGACAAGTGTTTCTCTATCCTGTTCTTAAAAACCTCCAACAATGAAGATTCCACAACCTGCCTCGGTAATTTGTTCCAGTGCTTAACTACCCTGTTAGGAAGTTTTTCCTAAAGTCTAATCTAAATCTCCCTTGCTGCAATTAAAGCCCATTACTTCTTGTCCTGTCCTCAGTGGATAAGGAGAACAATTTATCACCTGCCCCTTTATAACAACCTTTTACGTACTTTATGTAAAAGTAATGTACTTTTACGTTATCATGTAGTCCCCCCCTCAGCCTTCCCTTCTCCAGAATAAACAAACCCACTTTTTTCAATCTTTCCTCGTAGGTCATGTTTTCTACACCTTTAATCATTTTGGCTGCTCTCCTCTGGGTTTTCTCCAATTTGCCCACATCTTTCCCAAACTAGACACAGTACTCCAATTGAGACCTTTTAAGTGCTGAGTAGACAGAAAGAAGTACTTCTTGTGTCTTGCTCACAACACTCCTGCTAATCCATCCCAGAATGATGTTCACTTTTTTTTGCAACAGTGTTACATTGTCGACTCATTAAGTTTGTGATCCACTATAACCCCAGTTCCTTTTCTGCAATACTCCTTCCTAAGCAATCATTTCCCATTTTGTACTAGTGTAACTGATTATGCTTTCCTGAGTGTAGTACTCTGCATCTTAGGCCATTTCTACACTTACAAGCTTATGGGGGCACAGCTATACAGATACAGCTGTGCCGCTGTAAGAGCGGTCGTTTTGCCGCATTATGCTGACAGGAGAGAGCTCTTTCATTGACATAATAAAACCAGCTCAATGAGAGGTGGTAGCTATGTCAACAGGAGAGCACTTTTGCCTGCAAAACTTATGGCACTCAGGGTGGCAGGAAGGTTCACACCCCGAGCAACAAAAGTTTTCCTGACATAAGCGCTAGTGTAGACACGGCCTTAGAGAAACAAGGTGGGTGAGGTAATATCTTTTATTGGACCCACTTCTATTGGTGAAAGAGACAAGCATTTGAGCCACACAGAGCTCCTCTTCAGGTCTGGGAAAGGAACTCCCAGCAAAATGTGAGATGGAACAGATTGTTTAGCATGAGTAGTTAGCACATATTGTAAGGTACCATTCAAGAAACCATTGTAGAGTGGCCAATTAACAACTCTGCAATCATAGGACAAAAAGAGGGAGTTAGTGGGTTACAGATTGTTGCAACAAGCCATAAATCCAGTGTCTCTGTTCAGTCCATGATTTTTGGTGTCTAGCAGAGCAATGAATTTAAGCTCCCAGGCTCATCTTTGGAAAGCATTGTGCAAGGTTTCCTTTGAGGATGAGGACTGATAGGTCAAATCAGTCCTTATTAAATTTCATCCTATTTATTTCAGACCATGTCTCCAGTTTGTCAAGATCATTTTGAATTCTAATCCTGTCCTCCAAAGGGTTTGCCACCCCTTCCAGCTTGGTGTTGTCCACAAACTTTATAAGTGTATTTTCTATGCCATTATCCAAATCATTTATGAAGATATTGAATAAAACTGTATACAGGACAGATCTCTGCAGAACCCCACTCAATATGAACATCCAGCTTGACTACTCTCAGAGTATGGTTTTCCAATTGGTTGTGCACCCAAGGTTTGTGAAGGCTATATTCCCTACTTTGCTTATGAGAAGATCATGTGGGACTGTATCAAAAACCTTACTAAAGTTGAGACGTATCACATCTACTGCTCCCGCTTACCCACAAAGCTTGTTACATGGTCAAAGAAGGACATTAGGTTGGTTTGACATGATTTGTTTTTGACAAATCCATGTTGACAGTTCCTGATCACCTTGTTATCATCTAGGTGTTTACAAACTGACTGACTGATTATTTGGTCCATTCTCTTTCTGGGTACCGGTTCAGATGACTGGTCTATAATTTTCTGGGTTGTCCCTATTCTCCTTTTTATAGATGTGTACTATATTTGCCCTTTTCCAGTTTGCTGGGATCTCCAGTCCTCCACGAGCTCTCAAAGATAAACACTAATGGCTCAGAGATCTCTTCAGCCAGTTCCTTAAGTATACAGGAAGTATTTTGACAGGCCCTGCCAAACTGAAGACATCTAACTCGTCTAAGTAATTCTTAACTTATTCTTTCCCTATTTTAGTTTAAGATTATAGATTAAGCTTAGATTAGCAGTAATCATTCTGCAACTCCCTGCAGAATTCCAACACCAGCTAAGGATTGTCTATAAAAGGAAACTGCACAGCTATAGCAGAAGAAGATATTCTACTATAGCTATTACTGAATAGCTCTTTGTATGAACGCTATACTGGAACAAAAGTAGATTTACTCTGCAATAAAGATTTGTTTATTCCAGAATAAAGTGTTGACATGGGGAGCTATTCTGGAATAGCCATAGCTGAATAGATTATTCCACTATAGCTATGCCGTCAATTTCCCAGTGTAGACAAGCTCCAATATGATGGGAAGAAAGAATCGTGTTATCCTGTTCCTGACCTTGCATTATAAATACACCCCATAATTTAATCACCCAGCCTTCCAACAGGGGCAGGCTTAATTTTACTCATCAAATTAAACATTCCTGTGTTACGCCTTCCTATAGCTTATAGACAGGAATTTTACAAGGAAAAAAATGTGGGGAGGTAGATGTGGAGACACCGTCTTTGTGCAGTGCTTGCGACATAGGAATGAATCTCACACACCCGCTCAGACATGCAGTACAGTTTATGCACTAGGACACCAGTTCCCAAAAGAGTCATTTTAAAGCACACCCATAACAGAAACAAGTGAATGGGGAAGAGCAGAACAGTTCTTTAGATACAGCCCAGCTGTCTCATGCATCCAACACTCCCACATACCAAAGTTTTCATTGGATATGAATACTGTAGTTAAAAATGGCCAACCCAAATATGCCCCACACAGCAGCTGAATCCTGACACCACCAACCATACTCCTGAAGAAAAATACAACAAAAAAGAACACTTCTGTAGTTCTCACAATGTTTTCAAGAATAATATTCCCGAGAGAGGATTTTACAAAGGAACAAACCACTTTATTGGGTAATGAAATGCTGTTAAGTTGAGGCTTCTGATAAATGCGCAAACAGTTTATTACCTGGAGAGTTATCCCCAGAAGTTTACAAACCAAACGCAGAATGTGAGAAAATATAGCTATATATTATTAATGCATTTTCAGTACTATGCTATTCTGCCCATCTTATTTACTTGTACTACGTCAGATGTAAAAAGAACCTCATTTAATGGTTTACATGGCATTGTAAAATATAGTGTCTTGCTTCTTTATCAGGGTTTGAAAGTCTGTGCTGCCCACTGACATCCTTTGGTGGTAGGGTTGGAGAGAGAATTTAAAAGAAAGTAATTTGAGGCTAAGAAGTGAATAATTGTTCCAAGGAATGACCTGAGTGAAAAAACTTTGATGTGATGTGATATGAAGGGCCAAATTCTGCCTTAACTAACACCCCAGGCAACCTCACTGATGTCAGAAGGGTTGCCCAGGGTGCAAGCACTTGCAGGATTTAATGTAGTATAAATAAGGATTTCACTACTGTTTGTGAGATGATGTCTGGTTTCTCTGGGCTGTAGCTGACTTGAAATCCTTGTTATTTAAGTTTACAATAAAGGTGGCTTAGAAGGTAATTGCTGCTGTGTATCATAAAATAACATTTCATAGGACAGGGTTTTGCGCCTCTGATTAGCTGTTACGATGAGAAAAGTAAAAGGAAATTTTCTATCTCCTGTAGCTAACTACCAAAGAAAACATTTTCTTAAAAGTCTGTACAAAATCAACTTCCTAGACAGCATGGGGAAAAAATTAGTCTCTCTTTTGATATGTTTTTTTTCTCTGATTATGAGAGAAAATAATGTGTTTTTCCCCCCTTCATCTGAAATCAGATCTATCGCTTGAACATCTTTCAGAAGCATGGTTAAAAGAGGTTTACTATTCAAAAACCCTTATTCATAGTTGATGCATTATGGAACTTCTATGAATAAATTCCACAGAAAAGAAAAAAAAATTCACTCACAATTTGTGAGTAGCGTGGATACCTGCATTTCACGTAGCCCCTCAGAGTATTATGGTACACTACCATATTTTATCTTTGTACAAAACATTCAACAACTTCCTTTCACATATTGAAATCAGATTTAAAGGGAGAGTGTAAAGTATGGAGATTACAGTTTATTAAATGGAAAGCAAGGATGACATCATACTGAAAGTTTTCCCTGTCAAAAAAGTTCATTTTAAAGTTATGATAGTGGTTACTTTGGCATTCTGCATAATTATCATTTTCATCCCCAAACACAGCTGAGCTAAGCTTTCAGGTATTCATTTAAAAGATTACATTCTTGTTCCCATCTTCACTTCATTTTTCAACAAAATAACAGGACTAGGGTGACCAGATGTCCCGATTTTATAGGGACAATCCCGATTTTTGGGTCTTTTTCTTATATAGGCTCCTTTAACTCCCCACCCCCGTCCTGATTTTTCACACTTGCTGTCTTGTCACACTAAACAGGACCTCTAGCAGTAAACATGCACTCTATAGATGATGTCAATATACCATGAAAAATGGTGCTGCTGTTGCTGTTAAGATACGATTCAACCAACGGCGCTTGTTCCTCTGAATGTTTCATTCTTCGGGTTCTTGTGCGGCTGTCTACATTGGACTGAACCATTAGTGGCTCCTGGCGTTTTTTTTTCTGCTTCTGTTCTAGCAATGCTCGCTGGGGGAAATACAAAGAAAAGTACTTTACTATTAGAATAAATGCCACTTTTCTAGGGGAGTCTGTGTGCACATAACTTCTGTTCTGCAAACTGTGCTTAACTGAATGTTAATTGAACGTCATACTGTAGAATTTCCAGTAAATCACAACAGATATCCTTACATCTTCTGCAATGGCAGTCCACCTTGTATGCTATTTTCAAGTGCCAAGAACACAGTCTAATAGGACATTGGGATGCCAGGCCATAGAAAACCTTTCTAAAACGCTACTGAAAGTACCAAACAGGTCAAATAGATATTTCTGAGCAGTCTACTGGCTGTCAGAGCTGGATAAAAAACAACATCTTTTGGGAAGCCAACGATGTGGGAGCACTGTGAATTAATATGATAACCAAGAGCATGAGGCATGAAAACACTGATTTATGTTTATGTAAATCAAGAAAAGATCATCTGTAAACTAGAATCAAGTGACAAGACTGAACACAAGCCCAGTGTAACAATGATACATGCTGAATTTTAATTATACACCCTATTTTCAATTTCAATTCTCATTTACACCAGGTGAAAAGCAGATATTAACTGCTAGAAGGCAGAGGATTGTCTTTACGATTGCATAAGTCTCTCCCTCCAGATGTTTCTAAGTTTAGAATGTGATGGAAGCTGTGATAAATGAGGGGAGGTAGCTCCCTTTTATGGACACCCAGCCAGTCAGTAGCTATAGAATCCTCCTTAGCAGCTGTACCCTAATTGCCTTAACTGTAAAGGGTTAACAGAAGCTTAACCTGAGTTGGCACCTAACCAGGGAACCAATAGGGAGGCTGTACCCTTTCAAATTGGAAAAACTGCTGTGTGTGTGTGTGTGGGGGGGGGAGGTTCTTTGTCTCTCGGGCTGGAGAGCGGGGAAGGCAGCAACAAGCTGTAAGCTTTAAGCCAGGTATGGGAAATCATCAGCATCATACCTAGAAACTCCTCATTTGGAACCCCAGATATGTAAGTTGCCCAGGAAAAGTTAAGACAGATGCAATTAGGAACCTTTTTGGTTGTTTTGGTTTGTGGATTCCTCTGTGCTAACCCCATGTGCTTTTGTTTTGCTTGTTACCATTAAGCTGAACCCCAATAAAGTTATTTTTGGTGTTTAATCCCTAAAGCCTGAGTTTTCAAATGTGTTTCTTTTTTTAAATAAAATTTACCTTTTTTTAAAGAATCCTTTGATTCCAAAGTCCTTAGACAAGGGATTGGTCTGTGCTCACATTGCTAAGGCAACTGGTTGGTATTTTATTCTCAAGTCTCCCCAGGAAAGGGGGTGAAGAAGCTTGAGGGGATATTTTGGGGGGATAGGGATTCCAAGTGAACCTTCCCTGAATATTTGTGAAAATCACATATTCTAAGGAACTATTAATACCTCTGGAGTTGTAGGAAAAAGAGGGGGACTAGTGGGTTACTGATTGTTGTAATAAACTATAAATCCAGTGTCTTTATTAAGACCAGGATTTTTAGTGCCTAGCAAAGATATGAATTTAAGTTCCCAGAGGTGTTAACAGGCCACTTCACCTTCAATTGTCCCTTAGAATGTGTGTTAACTACTTATGCTAAACAATCTGATCCACCTTATATTTAGCTGTGACACTCTGAGTACCTTTCCCAAGCCTGAAGAAGAGCTCTGTGTAGCTCGGAAGCTTGTCTCTTTTGCCAACAGAAGCTGGTCCAATAAAAGATATCACCTCATCCATCTTGTCTCTCTAATATCCTGGGAACAGCATGGCTATAACAACATTGCAATCAGAGGCAAGATGGCATAGATATAAAGTATTTGATATTGAAAATGGGGCACAGACTGAAAGACCCTAACCCTAACCTTTTGGGTGTGGAGTGGACATTACAGTGGAAGCAAAGGTAACAGAAGATCAAGTTTGATACATAAAAGCATGTTGAAAGAGAGCCAGAGGTTCTTCGAAAGGGGGCCAAACGGAAATTAAAGACAAGGGGTGAAACCCTAACTCCACCAAAGTCAATGGTAAAATTCCCTTTGACCTTAGTGGTTATGTCTACACTGCAATTAAAACCCCACAGCTGGCCTGAGCCTCAGGCTCCCAGGGCTCAGGCTCAGGGGCTGTTTAATTGTGGTGTAGACGTTCGGGCTCGGGCTGGAACCTGGGATCTACGACCCTGCAAGGTGGAAGAGTCCAAGAGCTTGGGTTGCAGCCCGAGCCTGAATGTCTACACCACAATTAAACCGCTCCTGAGCCTGAGCCCTGGGAGCCTGAGTTACTTGGCACAGGCCAGCCACAGTGGGGACAAGATTTCACTCAAGGTCTTCAGAATGAGTGTTTATGTAGGCCATTTAAGAATGTGGTAGAAAGATAAACAACACAGCACATGACTTAATGACTTAGGCCTGGTCTACACGGGGGGGGGGGGTGAATCGATCTAACTTACGCAACTTCAGCTACGTGAATAATGTAGCTGAAGTCGACATACTTAGACCTACTCACCGCGGTGTCTTCACTGCAGTGAGTCGACTGCTGCTGCTCCCCCGTCAACTGCCTGCACCTCTCACGGCGGTGGAGTACAGTAACTCCTCACTTAAAGTCGGCCTGGTTAACGTTGTTTCTTTGTTGATCAATTAGGGAACATGCTTGTTTAAAGTTGTGCAATGCTCCTTTATAACGTCGTTTGGCAGCCGCCTGCTTTGTCCGCGGCTTGCAGGAAGAGCAGCCCGTTGTAGCTAGCTGGTGGGGGCTTGTAACCAGGGTGGAACGGCAGCCCCCCTATCAGCTCCCTGTTCCCCTAAGTTCCCTGTGCAGTAGCCATCCAGCAGTACCAATTGCTGGCAGTTCAGCTGTCCCTCCCCCAACTGCCATGTGCTGCTCCTGCCCTCTGCCTTGGAGCTGGTCCCCAAGACTCCTGCTTGCTGTGCGGGTGGGGGGGGGAGAAGAAGGGGGCTAATGTCAGGGTGTCTCCCTCCCCACTGCTCCTGTACCCCGCTTACCCCAATCTCCATAGAGCAGGGGGGACACACGACAGTGCTCAGGACGGAGGGAGCTTCCTGGCAGCAGCTGCATCTCAGTTTGTTGATTAACCTAACAAGGCAGTGTATTTAAGAGTGCGGTCAGCATACTTAAAGGGAAAATGCGCGTCTCTCTCACACTCACACACACACACACACACACACACACGGTGTGTGTCTCTGTCTGCCATGCTGTCTCCCCTCCCTCCATTCCTGATGCCTTGTAGAGTGTGAGGCTACATTAACAACAATGAGTTAACCCTTGAGGGCTCAGCCAATTGCTAGTTCATCATTTAGCAGTAAGGCATTCCCTGGGAAATATCCCATCCTCTGATTTCACCACTTCAACCAAGCTTCACAATCATCATTGTTGTGTACAATATTGAATTGTTTAAAACTATATATATATATATATATATATATATATATATACACACACACAGAGAGAGAGAGAGAGAGAGAGCGAGCATGTATACATATATAGTCTTTTGTCTGGCAAAAATAAAATTTCCCTGGAATCTAACGCCCCCTATTTACATTAATTCTTATGGGGAAATTGGATTCGCTTAACATCGTTTCGCTTAAAGTCGCATTTTTCAGGAACATAACTACAACGTTAAGTGAGGAGTTACTGTACAGGAGTCGACGGGAGAGAGCTCGGGGGTCGATTTATTGCATCTAGACTAGACGCGATAAATTGACCCCCGCTGATCCGGTGGATAGTATAGACATACCCTTAGAGTATTAAATCCTATCTGGCTGGGAATAAGGAGGAAAAATTCTGAAAACTGTGTGTTAATTCTCAGCTGTTGACACTCTTGCTAGTATCCTTGTGCTTTTCTTTTTTGTTTTTTCATGGTCTGCGAAAGGAATAATGCATTCTAAGTCATCATAATGCAACTCTAAGTCAACAAAAATGAAAACCACTCAAATCACAATAATAAGAAAAAGTCAACACTAATAGTAATCTTCACAATCCTTTCCTTTCCATCACTTAAGCATGTATAGCACACTCCAAAGGCCAGGGAACTAATATTTCAAGATGTAATTTTCTGGTAGGATACCTCGATCAGCTGTGTGTGCCAATGAAAGGAGGTCTCCATATTCCACAGTAATCCAATTAAGCAAGCCCTAACTTGTCAAAAGGAAATAGGCCGAAAGCAGACTCCAAGATCTCACCTGTCTGTCAAGCTTCTGTTGACGCAGATTGCTACCTTCATCATCTAAAACACTGCAAAGACAAAGAGAATTCATTAGAAAGTATTTGTCAGTCAACAGAACACCAAGTTGCAATTACTGGAGCCATATCTTGCAGGACTTATTCATGCAAAACTCCCATGGCATTCCACGGAAGTTTTGCCTAACTAAACCTGCACAAGCTGTCTCAAGAGAATTAAAAGCAACCCATGAAATATAAATAAAGTTCTGTGTATAATGTCTACATGCTACAAAGTTTAGATTCAGCCAGATCATAAAGGAACACAAATCCACAGTATTTCACAAGAGTCTTATGCCTGCAGTACAAACGCTTTGTTCTCGATTACCTTATAATAAAGATACTGAAATGTACAGCAGTGGGATGAGAGTGTAAATTTCTATATAAAGCACATACAATGGTAACGAGTTTGAGGAGCAGTTTAGCAAATCATCAGTATTTTAAATTGGCTTGAGAAAATGAATGGTATAAGCTTCTTCAGGTTGAGAACCAGAACTGTTTCTTTCCTGAAAATCTGAAGAATTATACTTACAAAGGGATTCTGATTTACTGTCTGCACTCAAAAAGTCAGAGATCTGCAATCCAAACAGTATTGTGTACTACCAATTATCATCATTTTCTCTCTGCTTCTAGGTGATTGTTCATTGTTGCTGGTTGGGGGATTAGCTCATGCCAGATTCAATCATTTTCATTAATTAGACGTTGGATGGAAATAAAGGAGAAACTTTCTTTGCATTACATTTGATAAAACTGTTAAATCCACCTTATTTTGGGGGGGGATGACGACAAGTTCTACATGCTGTAACAATATTATGACTAAAAATTTAAAGTAGATAAATAAATTCATAGATTTAATTAAATAGATGAATATAGACTACCAAAAAATACAAATATAACATGCTTTAAAATTGACTATATTAATTTGATTTCCACTTATAACACAAAAATGTGCATCCCATACTGTAGGCACCCTTGACAATTACAAGTACAGCACAAAGAGAGTCAAAACTGGTTTCTGCCCTTATGTGCATTTTAAAATAATTGGAAAGTGACATAATATTAGTTCAGCGTACTCTACATTTCTTAACTAGGATGCAGGCAGCATGGTATAGAGAGTTAAGTGGGAGACTTGAATATAGGAACAACCTTTGGGCTCTCACCCTCCAGAGAACAAAGAAATAAAGATGTGCGATGAAGCATGTAGCGTAACATCGGCCTTTTAGAAGATCTGCAGCAGGCATCGTTACATATACCTTATAAAAGGCTGATGTTACAAGATGCACAGTGAAGCAAGTTTCATATTAAGAAATGGAATTGTGTCTTAGAAGAATTACAGATATAAAAGTTTGTGGGTCTTTTGGGGAGATAATGCTAGCTGTGTTATATTTAGTATACCACCTACCAGCAACCCATGCAGCATTCCAGGCAATGAAGAGATAAATGGTTAGAATTTCAAAGCTCGTACCCCACATTAGAGGCATAAAAAATGGCCTCTGAAAAGTCTCTCCTCATCTCTGCAACCAGCTGTGCTACCAGTAAGATTTCCTCAAATGAAAAGTCTAAAGGCGAGACAGGGGCACTGATCTGGCCCTAGGCATCTAAGTGAACTTTACAACACTTGCAAATTTTGAGTGGGCGTCAGCTGGGGACATATCTGGGATATATCTGGGAAGATTCAGTCACGACTGCTGTTAAAAGAATCCTGTTTGAAACTTTTGCTCATAGGCACTGACCCCAAGGGTATACCAGGGCTAGAGCACCCATGGAAAAAAATTAGTGGGTGCTTAGCACCCACTAGCAGCCAAGCTTCCCTCTCTTCCCCGCAGCGCCTCCCATCTGCCAGCGGCCCCGCTGATCAACTCCTCCCCTTCCCTCACAGTGCCTCCCACCCGCCGCGATCAGCTGTTCCGTAGCATGCAGGAGGTGCTGGAGGGAGGGGGCGGAACTGGCTGGGAAGAGGTGGGGTAGGGGTTGAGCGGGGATGGGATGAGGTGGGGGGGGCTTGGAAGAAGAGGCGGAGTTGGGCAGGGGCATGCCTGGGGTGGAGCAGGGGACTTGAGCACCCCTGGGGCCCGGAGGCAGCCGGCGCTTGTGCTTTTACTGCCTCATTCCACAAAAGACAACATCCCAAGGGACAGTGAATGTTGTGAGTGCAAGAAAAGATAAATTTGTTTTTGTTACTTTAGTGAAAATTGTACTAGACCCATAAGGAAATGTGTCTAACTCTGAGAAAACATGGCACCATACAGATAATTCATTTTGTGAATCTGTGAGACTGAACAAGTGTTTCAGACATACCAGTCTGATAAATTACACTGCCCGTGTGAGAGAGGCTAAAAGAGGTGGGCATGTCAAACACGTCATAGTTATGTGTCATCTGTGGTTGTCAAATTCTAAAATAGCCTTAGGATCCCTGGCAAGAGGACCCTTCCTAATCACCAAACACCCTAGACGTATTATTTACTTAGCTATGCCAACTATTTATATCAGTTTCCTATTCTTATTTATTAAACACTGACAGCACAACCAGTGTGGGACAAGATACAGAAGATAACTTTGAGTGAGATTCTGTGCAGTGCCTCTAAAAAGCACAGTACAAAACTTGCAGTCCTGGAAATGAAAGGGGAAAGGTGCCATCAAGCCACATGACCTCCCAAATCATGGTAACTGCCCAGAATCCCATCAACACAAAGTACTATAGCACAACACCCTCCTAGTCTTCTCATATGCCCCTACCATGCACGCTCAACCCCTTCCAGGGCTTGCACTTGAGAGCCTACAGCTGTCCCATACAACTCATTTGTTGGGTAAAATTCTCCCCTGGCTGGCCACAGGGCTTTTACAGCCCCTGTACATTGCACAGGCGTGTACAGTGGCCATAGCAGGGGTGAAAATCTCACCCATATCCCTGTTCCAGGGAGCTTATGGTCTTGATGCTTTTCTCAAAAGAACCAAGCAATGTATTTATTTTCCAAAAGACACAGTGCACCAACAGCAAAGTTTGCTAGAGATTTTCAACAAAGTACCTACAACAAATAATAATTTGTACTTAGCATCTTTCTTTTGAGAAACTCAAAGCACATTATGAAAGGTACATAAATAGTATCCTCATGAGATTGTCTGCATTCTCCTGAGTATTTATTTTTCCGATAATACACATAACACGTCCCCAAAATATATTTTTGGACAAATGATTTTAGTGAAATGTGAGTATCAATCAATCCTAGTGCATCAACTAAAAATCCCCTCTTGAGATTTAAACTGAGTGCTTAAAAACTTAGATAACAGTCCAGAGTTTTAGAACTGCACAGGCAAAAATGCACCTGGAGAGGCCCAGAGAGGGTAAGTGACTTGCACAGTCACATCATTTGCAGATTTGGAAATAGAACTCTGTTTTCATGTCATCTCCTGCATTATACGTTAGACCATTCTGCCTCTCTCAGATGCTACAGCAAATGAGCTATAGACTTCATCATATACATTCCCATATAAACAGATTAATTATTATTGCAAACCATTATATTCCAGTAATATCCTGGTTTGTCTGTGATGCTAAGTATTGTACCATGGATATGGTGGCTAAACACTCAGGATCTAACTTCAGATTTTCTATAGCACACTTCATCATAATATCCAAGCAGGGCCCAGTGGTCAGAACAGAGGAGTAGATGGCTGGCCTCTTCAATTCCATTTTCAACTTTAGCTATGATTCATTGGGCTAAACAGGATAACTCCAGACTTTGTGTAAACAAGAGCAACTCCTACAGAAGTCTGGGCCAAAACCTACAGTGTTAAAAATGGTGGTTTAAATTACACAGTATGTAGGAACTGGTCAGAAAATGGATGTAATTTTCACTGATTTAGCATGCAATGGATTCAAAGCGACTGCCTTACATGCTGAATGGGGCCCAAAGTAATGAATCTCCAGCCAGGTGTTGTGACTATTGTGCTTTTTAAGACACTGCTTCATACCCTCTTCCTGTTGAATGAGATTATTTTTAGAATCTCCAAGTATATGCAGCCACAGCTGGGACTGAGAGCTGCTTGCCAACAATTTACGAAGCTCTTTTGCTTCTTCCATAGACCCTTCTCTGTGGCCTGATGGCTATTTTCTAAATTTCTGGGCTGTTTTCCACATTCCTTGTATAAATAAGTGTAAACTGCAAACCTTGTCCCTCGGGTTGTTTAAGCTTCAAACTGTCTCATTTAAATTGAACACTAGTCATCTTCTGTGAAACCAAGTCCTGTTGGAATGTGAACATGCCCAGAGGCGTAGCGAGTGCCCTCCGTACCCTCCGACCGGAGGGGGCCCCGCAAGGAAGGGGGCCCCTAAAAGTGGCAAAATAAATACCGCATTCCAGTTTCTGCATTGTAAGGGGCCCCGCCCAGACATATGTTCGGAGGGGGCCACGTTCTTTGTTACTACGGCCCTGAACATGCCAGCCTCCTCTTGGCCCCTTAGTTCACGCTCTGTGAAATGTGGACTGGAATACATCCTTCCCACCCTCCTTCAAAGGGGCAATGTGAGGCTTAACGTTTATAAAGAGTTTTGGAGAGTCAAATATGCAGGCATTAGAAAAATATTATTACTGTCCAAAGAATTCCTACAGCTCATTTTCAGACAATCCTCTATGCTACAGGACATCACTTAGGCTTTGCCTGGGCTAGGATTTAAAAATGTGATGTTAGAATGCATTAGCCAACAAGTTCTAATTAACAAGGTGGTACTAGACTTTTCAAACATGGCAGTGAATATGTTAAAATGTGCTAAGATGGTCAAATTAATGCCTATATTTTATCTCAACCAGTTTAGCACGTATGAAAGGCAGGGCACCTTATCTGCACTAGACTGTTCAGATGCGTTAGAACGTGTTAGCCAACACATTCTATATCACACCTTCAAATCCTTCCTAGTCTAGACACAGGGGTTTTATTCTTGAATAAGTACAGAATACCAACAACAGTGTCTGTGGGTGCATTCTGCCCTCGCTTAATGTCTGCGTATCTCCCAGTGA